TACTGGTACTATAATTATTATGCAGAAGATGTGGGTTTATTTTTTGTTTCTAGTCAGTTCGTAGTACTCAAACTTTACAATCTCCAGTAGCATTTGACGGAAAACTAATTGTGGCTGAACAAGTATGTGAATATATATGTTACTCCAAATTAGGCCAAAGTCCCTGTACTATAGTACAGGGACTTTAGCCAAATTTCACCAAAAATGAAAAGGTGAGAATTCTTCGTTTTTATAATGCTATCTGATGCATATACATGTACTTATGTGGCGTAGAAAGTTTGAGCTGATTCCAATCAAAATTGGATTTTTTACGAATTTTTAAAGTTGCTCTAAAATCGGACAAAAGTCCCTGTACTATAGTACATGGTCTTGGGCCAAATTTCACCAAAAATGAAAAGGTGAGAATTCTCCATTTTTATAACGTTTTCTGATGCATATACATGTACTTATTTAGCGTAGAAAGTTTGAGCTGATTCCAATCAAAATTAGATTTTTTACGAATTATTAAAGTTGCTCAAAAATCGAACAAAAGTCCCTCTAATGTACTAGTACACTGTACATGATAATGATGATATTTTGTCTATGAAATTTTTGCCAGAATGAGCTCAAGGTATATTGTTATTTTACAGTATCTATGTCATCTGGTTAAAATCTCAAATGAAAAGTTAGAAGACAATTTTCAAAGGATAGAAAGGTTACTATGTGTACATGTACATGTACATCTATTAGTATCATTATATTATTTTATTTAATACAATGATGTCATCTATAATGAATTTCTTAGTAATTATGTTTATATACTGGTATTTTAATTATCATTTAATTATTTTTAAACAGGTTTTATAAACTTGTTAGGGAAGTCTGCATACCAACAGAACCTCCTCCAATCAAACCTAACTGCCACAATAACTCTCACTCGCTTTTAAAAGTTCAAGAGAAAAAGAAAGAGAGAATTGATGATGATAGTAATCATGATTATCTGGAAAGCATTGATCAATTATTTCATTAATATTTACAATGATAATACTTTTAACAATTAAAGTAGCAATATTATAACTGCTATTGCCAATAACAGTACAAGGATAGCTAGCAGGTAATAGGTTAAATTTGAAGGCTTGCTATCTATGGAGGGGGGAAGGGAGAGTAATATTTTTGCCTTTTTTCATAATTTCTTGCCTCTTTTTTGATCAGGCTTTGAAGTAATGTCACTTTGTGATTTCATTGTGGTTGAAATTGGTTTAAATTCTTCTCCATTTCTATTTTTATTGCCACCATGTGATAATGTCAAGATAATTCCTTCTCCCCAAATATCTTTTAAATTTTCTTTTGCCTCTTCCTCATTTTCCTCGGGAAAGACGATCTCGCATAACTCATATTTCTTGCTTTCATCCTTGAACCAGATTCTCCTTGGAAACATTAACTTGAACGTTTTCCAACTTTTCTTCTTCTCTCCTTCTTCACTTTCTTCTTCCTCTCCATCAACCAGTTCAGCAAGGATAGCTTCTTTGCGAATGGTGAGAGTTTTAATGGCATCTTCCTTTAACAACTACAAATAATAATAATAATTATATAGTTAATTTCCCAGCTTTTCTACTTCAACTAGTTGCTGCCATTTTGCTTGAGCGTGGACATAAGCCTTGCAATGGAGACCATCTTCTACTTTTACATTGAGACCGTCACTAATGACAAAGGGTGAATCCACACCACTGGCCTAATGAGAAGAGAAAAAGGAGCAAAGTGAAAATACTAACACATATAGTTTATCAGTATGTTTTTATTTAGGGATAAGTAGATATAGTTTCAAATTCATCTTACGTTATTTTTCCAATTGAATTTGACTTCAATACAGTTACCACGAACATATTCTGAGACACATTCATCATTCTTAGGTATACTCCCTCCATCACTGATAGCTACTGCATCTCTAAGACTACTAACACACTGATCAAGAGTATCATTCAATACTCCACTTATGCCAGTAGCATTAGCATCTCTTCCTTTTATTTCAATAACTTGTTCAGTTTCAAAGGAGAGATAGGCATGTCCTACAAGCAGTTCTTTTTGTGTTGCCTTTACTTCAGAGCCTGGTAGTTGTAAAACTGACTGAGGGTCATCAATGTCTACTGACAAACATCGTAACCTTCAATTTAAAAAAAATAGAAAAGTTTAAAAATTAAAGTCTTTGTGACTTTTAGTTGGACTTTTAAAGTTTGATTTACTTTTTTGACTCCTGTGAATAATATATCAATAGCAATTGATCCCTCCCTCCTCCTCCTCTACTTTTCTTCTTAATTGAAGCTAATAAACCTCTTACTAAATTCAACTGGGTCTTGAGTTGCTTCGGATTTGTATCCATGGCAACGCCGAGGACATATATGCCCCCTGGGAGGGTACTCGAAATCTAATCGGCAGGAGTTAGTAAATTTAAAATTCCCACATTACAAACCTGTTTAGCTTTTTCAGTGATATTATTACCACCATCACTTGTCACTGACAGCACATGATACTGTGAGTCTGAGATCTACAATAACTGACAATGTTTTCATTTTCGAAGAAGTGTTTATCTACCTTGCATCCTATCAGCAAGACCTGAGCTTTC